CAGAAGTGGCTCTGCCGAGTAACACTTCTGAAGCATTACCTTTAGTTATCCACCGACTGTCTGCGATAGGGATGCACGTGGACATGGACGGTACAGCGAATTTTAAGTTAAAAAGGACGAAAAAGTTCCAAAGTTAGATACGCGGTACGAGACAAAAGCCTGTCCCGCGTCCCGCGAGAAACTCTAGTCAGCAAGGAGGCGCCCTGTTCCTTTTCACTGTTTCCTTGTTTTGGTCTTAAAATTGATCTTTATTTTGAGAGGAATCCCGTTCCAGATAGGGCGTGGAAGGCCCTCATCGCTCCTAGGAATCCACTGACCAAAATTTTGGGTTCATCGCTCTACTGAACTTTTTTTTCCAAAAATTCATATTTTAAAAGAGCTTGTGAGCGAGTGCGTTGTCTTATCGAATAAAACGTGTTGATAGACAAAGCAGTGTTTTTTATCTTTAAATCGATGTCTAAACGATCCAATATAGCTAAATAAGTTATTGCTGTACCGTTTTTTAAGTAATCAATAGAAATAATACCATTCGAATTACAAACGTCATCATCCTTCCGTATGCTTCTTCTTCATTGCTTTGACTGTAATTATGTACAAGGGAAAACTATTATCTATAATATTAAAATGAATCGCAAAATGTGTTGGTAATCGCATAACTCAACAACGCATGGACCATTCTTAACAATTCTTTTTCTAAATTGTTCATTGAAGTCTAAGGATGGTTTTTACGGCATGAAAAATTCGAATAATTGTCGGGAAACCCTAAAACAGCTTTTCTTTTCCCATACAAATATTTTCTAACTAAATGTAAAGTCAATTTGAACTTTATTGCTATTCCATAAAGTTTATATTAAATTACAAGCACTCAATCTTGTCTAAACGATGTAGGTGTATTCCTAACGTCGAAGATTAAATTTGCGATTTATTGTCGCTGCACAAAGTTCAAATTCAATCAAATGTATGTGTGTGTGCGTTCGTGTGTGTGCGTATTCCTATGTGTGCGTGTTCGCATTGGAGAATCTATTGCGTTCACACAAAAGTGATAATATCGTGAACCGACTAAATTGAAAAGTCAAAAAATGTAAGAGCTATAGATTTGATTGGCATTTGATAGATTTGAGGAACAAAATGTTTGAATGTAAATTAATTAAATTTCAAAATTCAAGAACAAATTACAGGCGAATTGAGTATATATATATATATATATATATATATATATATATATATATATATATATATATATATATATATATATATATAAATCAGTTGATTCTGCTACTAACCAAGATGATGTAGTCAACTTCTTCTTCTTCTTGCAGTACTGTCTCGTATCGGAGGTTAGCTACCATCACAGAAATCTTTACTTTATTGGCTGCAGCTCTAAACAACTGTATTGAACTGCACCCATACCACTCCCTTAAATTTCGCAACTAGGAAATCCTCCTACGTCCCACATTTCTTTTTGCCGAGATTTTTCCGTGGATTATCAATCTAAGCAGAGAGTACTTTTCTCCTCTCATTATGTGGCCCAGATATTTCAGTTTTCTCGTTTGTATCACTTCGCATTCCTTCCCCATCTTCAGCAGAACATCTTGATTTGTTACTCTTTCTGTCCATGGTATTTTCCACATTCTCCTGTAACACCACATCTCGAACGCCTCAATGTTTTTGATGTTTATCTTTTTCGGTGTCCAGGCTTCCATGCCGTACAGCAGAACGGAGAAAACATAGCATCTTAACATTTTCGTTCTTAAGTTTATATTTATGTCACGGCTGCATAGGAACTTTTTCATTTTGACACGCTGACTTTTTCATCTCTATTCGCCTCTTGATTTCTCTTGTCTGGTCATTAGTATCAGTGAAGCAAACCCCTAAATATTTGGAGTACGTAACTTTTTCAACTGGCTGATTATTTATGGTTAAATTCACATTGGTGTATAGCTTCTTTGTTACAATCATGAATTTAGTCTTTTTGATGTTCAGTTTTAGACCATACTTCTTGGTATGGTTGTTTATGTTTTCCATCAAAAACTGTAAATTTGCTAGGTTATCTATTACTATTAGCGTGTCATCAGCGTATCGTATATTGTTAATTAACTCTCCGTTAATGTTCATACCAATGTTTTGCTCTGCTCTAGGAGCGCTTTCTGGCATATTGTTTCTCTCTCTCTCTCTCTCTCTCTCTCTATATATATATATATATATATATATATATATATATATATATATATATATATATATATATATTGAATAATAGTCGAGAAAGCACACAACCCTGACGCACACCTCGACGAATCTTAATTTCTTCGGTTAACTCATTATCAACTTTGATTTTTGCTGTTTGTCCCCAGTACAACCTGGATATGATGTTAATGTCGCGACTGTCGATGTTTTTGCTTCTTAGGATTTCATACAGCTTTTGGTGTCTGACTTTATCGAAGACCTTCTCAAAATCTATGAAACCTACGTAGAGGTCTTGGTTTACATCCAAACATCTTTGCAGTAACACACTCAGACCAAACAAAGCTTCCCGTGTTCCCAGTCCACCTCTGAATCCAAACTGTGTGTCGTTTATGTCCTCTTCTAATTTATTAAATATTCTTTTGTGAATAATTTTTAAAAATACTTTTAGTGTGTGGCTCATCGATGCTATAGTTCTGTGGTCTGAACACTCTGGCGTTATTCGTTTTCGGGATTGTGACAAAAGTAGAGGAGAACCATTTCTTTGGTATGATACCTATTCTATAAATTGTGTTAAAGAGGTTCACGATTATTACAAGTGCGTCGTCGTCTATAAGTTTCAACAATTCTACAGGAATTTCATCTGGTCTTGCAGCTTTACCCCCTTTTGTGTTCCTTATAGCATACTCTACCTCACTTTTTAGGATTTCAGGCCCTGTTGTGTCGTCTGTAGGTTCTGCCACTGCTATTTCTGGTCTTTCGTCTACAAAAAGTTCTTCAATGTATTCTGTCCATCTTGCCAGTTTTTCATTTAAATCTGTAATTATTTTACCTTTTTGCCCTTTACGATGGATGTTTGTTTCACTTTTTTACCTGTTATTTCCTTGATCTTTTTATGTATGTTAAAGCTATCGTACTTTCTATCATATTCTTCTATTTCCTTGCAGTTGTCCAGAACCCAGTTCTCTTTGGCTTCTCTGATTTTTCTCTTAATTTCACGGTTCACTTCTTTGTATTTTGTCTTTTTGGTTTTATTTCTTCGCCTTTCCTCCACAAGATGCAAAATTTCGTTTGTCATCCATTCCTATATCTTAATTTTGCTTGGAGCTAAGGAGCCTTCACCGGCTGTCATAAGGGCTTTTTCTATCTCCATCTACCTGTTCTCTTGTCCTTTCCAGTTAGTCCCTTTACGTTCGCCACTGCCCCTGAATTTTTAAACTAGCTGGATTTACCAGGATTGTCATCTCACAATCTTCAATTAAAGGTTGGATCGGTAGTTATAATGTAGAGAAATATCAACTGACCTCGACTTTGCAACGGCACACGGTTAGCGATAAAAAATTGTAAAGAACGTGATAAAAGTAACTATAATGAAAGGAAAGGAGAAGACGTTTTGATACCACGCTTCCCAATGATTCCGACTGATATACCATTTGAATTTAAACGAGTACAATTTCCAGTGCAGCTTGGTTTTGCTATGACCATAAATAGGTCCCAGGGGCAATCATTAGGTGTTTGTGGTATTAATCTAGAAAACGCATATTTCTCACATGGTCAATTGTATGTTGCCTGTTCCCATGTTGGAAAATCATCATATTTTTTTGTATATTTACCAGGTAATCAAACAAAAAACATTGTATATCATAAAGTACTACAATAAAAATAAAACAGATTTTTGTTAATAATTATGATTCACTTACTTTACAATAAAGAGATTAATGAAAATACTTATATACGTTTTATTTTATTATTCTTTATTACATCGGTTATTAACCCTATGTTAATAATAATAATAAATAATTAATTATCTCTATGTTTTGTCATTGGTGCACCCACTTTGTAAATATTTGTCACCTTTAATTTTTCACTATCCCTTTAGATTACCTATTTTTCAATCAGGTTTGAAACTCAAGTTCCCCTCTTAGTTTGAAGCCCTCTGGCAGACATCCCAGTCGGGGTTTTTAGTGGGTCCAAAAGGGTGGCCAAAGTTCGTCGAGGCGAAGATACTTAGGTCACCCGAGCTGACCCTCACACCCTGCCCTATCATCATGGTGACGGCTCTGTTCAGGAGAATTAAAGAGATAAAGTGCCACATTCCAAATCTATTTGACAGTACTGTCGGGTCCAGTAGAACTTAATAAAGCATCAGCAAAAAGAATTACCCTCTGACAAATGTCAGTGAAATTATATTCTTGTATGTGTGTCAATGAAAACTTATTGCTGAAAAAGTTCCCGCGAAAAAAATTACTTTTCGAAGAGTAAACTGTAACTAAAAGGGAAAACTGTAACTCCTAATAATGCGCACGGCAATAAAATTACTCTGAATGAGTCACAAAGAGAAAATATATTTCTACTCTTTATCTAACTACGAATACTATAATTTTCATAGTGTATAGAGAAAAGAATAACAATGTATGAGAGCGAAGATAGCTTATTCTGTTTGTATATCCATGAAGACTGTATTTTCTAAAAATGTATGTAGATGTAACAAGTTTTTTAAGAGGAAACAAAAATTAGGATAAAGAACAATGTTACAATAATATATCATAAACTAGTATCGGTAATATAACGTAGGTGAAAATAATTGTTAATAATAAGCAGCACAAATGCAGCTTGCTTTCAAAGAATGTTAAAACCAAACAAATTGCTTAAAATTTTGACAGATGACAGATGTCAAAACCGGGAGTAATCCATTATAGCGTATCGCCATCTATCAGAGGCTCGATTGTCAAATCCTCTTTATATTATATAAGATATTTATATTTAAGTTCTCAGCTTAATATAAATCGCATTGTCTCACCAACTGATTTTTTTTTCAGATGGCGAGCATGAGGATGAAAGTGTCTAGTACACCGACGGCCGTCAACACGCTCGACCAATCGATGGAAGAGAACATATCCATAATCTGCGAAGGTGTCGGACTAGGCGCGAAGCGTAGGAGTGACTACTCTCCATCTAAGGATAATCTCTTGTTCGGAATAGGTAAGTCGATGGTCGTTGTTATAATTTACTTGATGTAAAAGGTGATAGTCGCTTGATATTTATTTGTTTGTGAATGTTTGAAGTGATATATACTTACTTAGTGTAAATTGTCGGTGTGTGAAAATATACTTTTGAATTATTTTTGTGTTCATTTGAAATTTAAATTTTTACGAAACAGGAAATACTGAATAAAATTTTAGTACTTTCTCTGTATCTATTATTTAAGTAAATGTTATGTTATAACTCAGTAAGCAGGATCTACTCGTATTCTACTTATTTATTTTATTTCGGATAAGAGTTATTAGTACGAGTGTGTTATGTGTGATAAGAGCTGGTCGATTTGATACATTCTCTAGCTTAAGTATTATTTTTTGTAGTCCAGGTATTCAAGTTTTATTCAGGTCTGTATTTATCAATCACACACTTTTTTAATTCCACAAGGAAACTAAATTTCTGTAGTTGGCTGTATACCATGTATCACAAAAAAAATATTTAAACTCTTCTTCGTGAAAGGTATAATAATTAAAACAATATCGGTCTACATCACAGAACGTTTTCGAAATAACTATTCCATCATCAGTGCTATCTGGATGTACACGTTTGAAGCCACTAAATAGATGGGTAAAAACCCTTTAAATGCTGTTTGATTAACTTTGAGTCACATTTTTGATAATTAAGAATTATGATGTTTAAGTTACAAAAGGAATTGATTACATGGCAATGTAGTTGCTATCAGTAATTCTTAATTATCAAAAATCTCAAAGGTAATCAAACAACATTTAAAGGGTTTTTACCCATATATTTAATAGCTTCAAACATGTACATCCAGAGAGCCCTGATGATGGAATAGTTATTCCGAAAACGTTCTGTGACGTAGCCCAATAGGGTTTGCATTACCATACCTTTTATAAGAAATTTTTAAATAAACTTCTTTTTTAATTCGCCATGTTCATAAAATTTTCAGTATGTTTATTTGTTGCTTTCACATCTGTCATTTTTGACCCTATCCTTGAAGGTAAACTGTGTTCCGAAGTTATTTCCGAACCGTGAATTTTTAAATAAAAACTTTTAATTTCTAGGTTGGTCGGTCTCTTATAAATCATCATAATTCTGGTTTTACAACCCTTTGTGGGTCCTAGCCTTCCAGAATTTCTCTCTAGTTATGCCTATCCAATGCCTTAATCCGCCAAGCACGTATTCCCACATTTCTCATGCCTTCATCGATCTTACCAAGGAACCTTGTTCTGGGTCTTCCTCTTCTTCTTTGATCAACGGGTCTATCAAGGAGCGTTTTCTAGCTGGGTAATTTTTTTCCAACCTCATTACATGCCCTATCCACCTCAGACGTGCTATATTAGTGTTTTACGATGTCTGGTTCCTGGTATATTCTATGAAGTTCGAAGTTGTATCGTCTTCTCCACACTCCATTGTCATTCACTGCTCCATAGATTCGTCTTAGTACTTTTCTTTCGAAACATCCTAACATGTTTTCATTACTTTTTGTTGAGTCCATGTCTCTGAACCATATGTTAGGACTGGGCGTATTATTGTTTTGTATAGTTTTAATTTTGTATTTCTCGATATAATTTTAAATTTAAGGTAGAGATTGAGCCAAAAATAACATCTTTTGGACGTGCAAATTCTGTACTACTATTATTTTCAGTGTTATGGAGCGTTTTTATTAATAAAACACTTAAATATTGCTTAAATGTTTCGACCATTTGCCATTTTTAATAAGCGCTTTAATTATTTAACATTACATATTGCACAACTATATTTTATGTAGACTATTTGGTGGTTTTACATGGAACGTAAAAATGGTATCTGACCATAAAATACACATGACACGTACTTCCAAATACGAGTAATTCAGGGTAGTATCTTAAATATCTGCAAATGGTGCATTTAAAAAGCATAAAACATAATTGTGTATTATCTAATGTTAAATAATTAAAGTGCTTATTGAACATGGCAAATAGTCGAAACCTTTAAGCAATAATAAGTGTTTTATTTATAACAGAAAGAAAAACCCTTATTTTTCTTGTAGTGCCTATCCGTTTCGGATGTTGGCGACCATCATGGCAATCTGCACTTTGCACACTGCTGCTCTAAAAAGATTTGTGGTTGTTGTGTTGAACCACGTTCGTAGATTTTTCAGCTAGGAAATCCTTCGCCTTCCTGGTCCCCGTTTTCCTTCTACTTTTCCCTGCAAGATTAGTTGCAGCAGTCCATATCTTTCGCTGTTCCTCATGATGTGACCTAGGTATGAAGAAAAACCGAGGAATTAAAAAAGTTTTTCTTTATACACTCATTGACAAAAATACCGAATATTTTGGAATTATCTATTTTTTTTTAATAAATTCTGGTCAGTCAAGTCGTTAATTGTAAAAAAGAATTTATTTTAACAATGTTTAATGAACGTAAATAATGAACGAATGTAAATAATGTTATTTTACTCTAAACTTAAATTCTAATTTAAATTGCTTAAACAAATATTTTTAACTGACACAAGTGCATGATCAGTAACGTTATTTTCCCGTCTAGCTCTTATTACTGCTTGCATCCTTCTCGGCATGCTTGCAAGTCAATTTTACACATATCTTTGGGGAATCACATTCCATTCATTCCGTGCAGCAAGCCGAAGCTGCTCTATTGTTGGAACGGGATTTCTTTAATGCCGCATTTAAGCTAATCCCACATGTGCTCTATTGGATTTAAATACGGGCTAAATGGTGGCCAATCCAATCTTCGAATTTGGACCTCATCAAGATAATTACTCACTATGGCAGCGGTATATATCGAGCAGTATCGTGCATTAACGTGAATCTGTCATATCCGATGTAACCAACATATGGCAAAACATGATCTTGAAGATCACCAGCCATCCGTCCAATCGCTTCCACAAGTGCGGTGCGTCCCTCCCAACTTCCCATACAGTATTATGCTACCACCTCTAAGACTAACGGTCTGGGCGAGATTGCAGGTTGCGGATCGTTCTCCAACTCTTCCGTAGACGTGGTTTCGATCATCTGGCTTCCATAACAAGATTGTGGTCTCATCAGTGAAAAGAAGATTTTTCCAGTTATTGATATTTCACTGAATATGTGTTCTTCCAAATTCTAAACGACGAGGTTTATGATTTTGGTGAAGACGTGGAACTTTGGCAGGGCGTCTAGGCATTAAGTTTGCTTCTTTTAATCTTTGTCTAACTGTTTTTGAACTCACATTAACTTGTCCAACATTTAGTAACTCATTTCTGATGTGTATCGATGTCAATGAGCGATTTCGTGTAGAATTAATAACCAAAAACGATCATCAATTGAGATTGTGCACCTTGGATGTCCTTGACCAGGCCATAGTACAAAATATCCTGTCCCCTTTTTAAAGTATTTGAAACTGTATATCCTTCCTCGCACAAAATTACAATCTGTGTTTCTTGTGCTTCATCGCAGTTTCGAATTGGTGGTATATTTGATTTAAACTTAGTTAAATCAAAACAATATTTAATTAAACTTAATTAATTAAACTAAAAATAACCGAATTACTATGGGTTTTCCTTTATGTGAAGAAAGTTTATGAGAAGTTTTATGAGAAAATGTCCGAATGGCACTAAACGATGAATAAACGACAAAATATTTCAAACCAATTAAGTACATCAGTCTACTATATGAGTAACATTAGTAATCTAAAATTAATTTGAAATAATACTGACTACAAAAAAAAAATTGAAAAATTGCAAAATATTCGATATTTTTGTCCATGATTTAAATCTTTTATTTTTTATAGTTCTACTATAATTCTTAATATGTTCTCTGATTTTGTTCTTTCTTATTGTCTGCATTTAGGTTTTCCTCCGAGTAGTCTCGTCTGCTTTCTCTTATTCTTTTTTATAATTTTCTGCTTTCGTGTCTGTTTTTAGCTCTAGGATTTCTTGTACTTATTTTTCCAAAGCCTCAATTTTCTTTCATCTGCACGTTCTAGTCGCTTCTACACTCCTCTAATTATAAACTTTCCGTCTGTTTCTTGTGTTTCTTTGTAGTTGATTAAATCTAGCTTGCGTTTTTTTTCTACTGCTGTTCTACATTTATCAATATACCATTTTGCATTTCTTTCTCTTGGCTTTTCCGACAGTTTTTTGTGCAGATGCCGTTATTATTGTTTTTAATTATCTCCATTCTTCCTCTGCATTGTCTTCTTCTCTGGCTCCAATAAGTTTTGTTTGGAGAGCATTTTGTTATTCTTTTTTCTTTGTTGTGTTTTTGTTTTTTTTTTTTTAATACTTTAACATTCCATTTTTTAATTTGATTATAACATTCAAGCCGATGCAGCTCTAGAGTTGCAATGCCATGACATGCGAAGTCTTATCAAGTTATATTTATTATTTCTCATTTTGTAGTCTAGGTATGAGATCTTTCGTTTCGTAGTCTTTGACATTAATGATAGCCCTCGATTTATGCTGTTTAGTCCTGATTGTGAAGGACAGACCACAAGTATCATTTACTACCTCTAATTCGGACGTTTAAGTATAGTTTTTCAGTTGCAGATAATTTGCTTCCATTTGGTGTACGTGTTTCTGATCGGCTCAATTCGTCTTTTTTTTATTTCTTTATCTTGATCTTACTTGGGGTTTAGTGCTACTCCTAATTATATAAACTTGTTGACTTATTTTAGTTCGACGCTATTTAGGATAATTCTCATCGCTCTTCCCAATTACGGCTATCCACATTCTTGTCTTAGTAGTTCTACAAGTTTTTGATGTGGAACTCTATCGAATACCTTCTGAAAATCAAAGATTAGTAGCATTAATGATGGCTGGTTTCATTTTCATTTTAACTATTTGTTAAAATAAATTTAAACACTTATATTGTTTCTTTTTAATTATTTTTTAATGGTAATGTAGAAATCTGTAACTGATTCGCCGTTAGAATTAAAATACCCGTGTAACATTGAGTGAAATATAAATGATGACCAATTCACGAAGAATTCTTGGTTGTGTTAGT